CACTGAATTTAACTCCTTGAAGACAACACAAGGATTTAAAATACTGTATACCTGTTTAACCACACTAACAAGGGCCTGATCGAAAGCTGACTGAAGTCTATGGGAATCTTTCCACTTACTTCAATGAGCATTCAGTGCAAAACCACCAGTATTGATTTAAGTGTCCTAAGTACAAAAGGAGTTTGTCTTTGCTTTTATCTTACGCTATCTTCCATATATTAACTTTCTTGGTGACTGACAAAACAAGCTGTTTCTCTCAAGGTTTACGGCTGCCAAGCTAGCAACAATTAAACCAGCATTCGCGGTTTTTGCTATTCTGTTATCTTAATCGTTTACATTTATTTTGAAACTTCTGACGGTCCCAAATCTCCCCCTGACACGGGGGAAAGGGGAATTCACGACTGAAAAGTGCGTACTTTATAAACCCTGTTAACCCAGGGCCAGGTTCTTCCACCTAATTCACTTTGATTAGTACCTTATGCCCAGATCCACTCAGGTATTCAGGCTTCTAACTTCCGCTGAAATCAACTCTGTTCGCACACTGTTTCATCACACTCGCAGTGCCCCGGCTGCCCCTGGCACACCCCCTATGGATCACCCCCGCTGACACACGGCTCTAAGTGACCCCGCCCCCACTTTGCAGGCCCGCGGCTTCCACGCGCAACGGGCAACCTAACAACCGCGGGCGCGCGAGGCTCGGCGACGTTCGCGGGACCTTCCTTTCCCGGGAGACTCCGCCCCGCTCCGGCGCCCGCTGCTGAACCGGAACTCGGAGCCCCGCCCCCGCGCTCTATAAAGACCGCGGAGGCTGATCAGCCCCGCCCAGCCGCCGCCGCGGGAAGCGGGAGTAGCTGGGGTGGGGCAGTTACTGCGGGCGCTGGCCTCTTCCCTCCGCGCGCCGGGGCTGGAGCGCGGGGCTCTGGCCGGGCCGCCCCTAACGGCCCGCTCCGCGCGCGGGAGTCTCGCTGGGCCGCGCGCGCGCGCTGGCTGAGGGCGGGGCGGGGATGCTGCGCTCCGCGGGTTACTTCAGTGGCTTTTCCTGCCCTTTCGATGGCGCCTCGGGCGCCGGCTGCCCGCGGCCCCACTGCCAGTATAGGCACGAGGCGGGGCGGAGCGGGCAGCAGCCGCTGAGCGACGCCCCTGCCATGGGTGAGGACGGGGGCGCTGCCCACGTTGTTAGAGGGCTAAGGGGGTCGGGGACCCCTCTGAGCTCACCCTCGCCCATGGGGGACGCTGTGAGGCGGGGGTGCCTGGACCCTCCCTCCCCCCCAGTCTGCGCTGACTGCTAGTCATCCTCTAGCTTCGCCCCCTCCCCCAGCCTTTCTGGGACTCTACAGCCTGCTGCTCCCAGCTGTGTGGGGCAGGCACCCTGGGGCTGTGCCCCCTGACTGCACTGGGACCCGCCAGTGAAGCTATGGCGGGGGCTTTCCTTGGGATTGGTGCCTGTGTGTTTCTGATTACAACCCCTGTCCCCATGGTGACGGGCAGTCCACGGCACTGGTTCCCCACCAGCACAGTGGCCCCGTGTGGCCACTAGCCGGGCCTTAGGGAGTGGCTGCCACGGCCTCAGTTGCTGCCCTGTGGCCACCCCCCATAGATGCCTGGCTGTTAACTGCAGGTGTCGCTGAGTATATGTACCCCATAAAGCTGTTTACTCAAGGCTTAGGTTAGGGTATGGCTACGCTGCATTGTAAACCGTGGCGTGTGGGACACAGTGTTTCCAAGCCTCCATTTGAGTGTCCACGCTGCATTTTGAGCCTGGGTTTGTACTTGCTGGGCCCATGTATCGCAGCCGTGCTAATGTGTCTGTATTGAGCAATGCCGCCCTGACTCAGGTCCATGCTGCAAAACGACAGGGCTTGGATGTGAGTCTCAGTGGAAGTTGTGCTCTGACCCAGCCCATGGTAGGGTCCTAGGCCTAAATCCTGAGTGTTTCTGACCTGTGTCAGACTGATTTGTGTTTGGACAAAAGATGGGAATATGCTCAAACCTGAGTCAGCCTTGGCTTTAACGTGCAGGTTAGGTATAGTAGAGTGTCATCTGGTGGCTTCATAAATAAATTACTGGTGGTAGCATAGCCTCTCTTCTTGCCTCTTTCTCAGAATTTTAAATGTAGCCCCAGTGAGAGTAATAGAAATGGTTCAATTATACTATTTAAAAAATGGAAACTAAAATAAAATGCAGCTCTCTGCAGAGTCTCTGCTGCAATATTGTGGCAGTGGTGAATGAAAGCCAGGGAGTAAATTGCCTAGAAATTAAGTATAAAATGATTAGTGTTTCTAGCATTTATTCTTGCATTTCTCTCAGTTTTGATTAGCAACATAGTGAAAACTTAAGGTGTCCTTTACAGAGATAAGAAAATGTGAGGGCTGATTCTCAGAGATGTTGAACCCCTATAACTCCCCGTGGCATAAATAGAAGTTGGAGATGTTTAGCACTTCCTGGACTCAAAACTTGTTTTTTAAGTGCGATTTTTTTTTTAAACCTTGAGCTGTTCCTGTGAGCAATAGTCTTTCTGAGGAAGGGTGGACATGTGTATTGTAAATATTTATAGCTTTTCTGAAGGTGAGCACTGCTTTCCAGGTAGGAGTATGTCAGTTCATGAAGAGCCTAGTAGAACTTCATAGGGAATGTGATGTTTTAGATGGGTTTTATGCTACCTTCATCACTGAAGTATCTGAGTGCCTTTCAGTAGTGCATTAAGCAATGTGACTAACGTTTGTCACATCTGGTTTGTTTTTACTCTCACTGATGACTTTTCTGTGAGGGACCTTTGTTCCTCTTATATGAATTGGCATTTTCAGACACTTGTGTGTCAGTTTCTGAGTGGATTGTTGCATGACAAATGGTAGTGTGTAACTTGGTGGGAAATCTGGGCAGGCCCATTGCTAGTACAGTAGTGGGCTAAGTTAATTTAAAGGTGTACAGCAAAACTTTATCTTAACCACTCTAATATCCCAAAATAATAAAAGAATGCTGTAAATGTAGGTTTTAAAAACTTGAATTGCATTTCAGATGTAATTTCTTTTTTATTTGATTTACTAATTTTTTTCTTCTGAAATCTATTTCCCTTGAAAGAATTGATAACCTTAATTAGTGCTTAAAGCCAGTAGGGAGTGTAGCTGGATGTTCCCAGTTTTATTTCAGATGTCTACATTTTTTAAGCATATAGTCTGTTATTAATTTGGGGTTGTAAATGATTGCACTTCTTACTGACCCTTTGCTCTTTCACCTTTGTAGGACAGTTGTGTTATATGTGAGAGCCATGAGTGACTCTTACCTCATGAAGTCTTTATCTTGCCTCCATGATGGAAGATTTAACTTCCAGAATAGTGCAACTGGATTTCCATGTTTACAGTTGATTTATGATTAGTGGACTTTGTAATTTTTCAACCCATGGGAGTCCAAGTCTCATGGGTGTTACAAAGGGGGCACAGACTAAGCAGCACTTCATCGTAGGGCTGAGAAAAAGAAAAATTAGCAGAATCCAGTTGTCAGTAGCACCCAACGAGAGACAGGGAAGAGAATGAAGGATCAAATCATTCCCTCCTTATCTACTGCTTACTCAATTGCAGTAGAGCACTCCCCTTCTCTGAATACACAGCAGCACCACCACTGTAAGCAGCTCTCCTTAGAGCTGAGCACTGAGGTTTCAGTGTACTTTGTGCTCCACTGAAATGCAGGGGGGAAAAAACAGTATCTGTAATAGTTTAAAAAGATTGATATACCAAATTCTTTTTGGTATACCAAATTATGTTCAAGGACAATGCTGATTGGAGTTTGAAGCCATCTTAGAGCTGATACTGAGCTTATACATGATGATATGCTTATATTCATAACCTTTATAAGTTTCAAGATAACAGCTTAAAAACATCATTTAAGTGACTGAATAACAAAACTGTTGTCTGGACCATAAACCTGTATGTTTGTAGAGCTTTGCCACAGACTGTAATATTTATTACCTAGAAGATATTTTTCAGCTAAACTCTGTGGAATCGTAACTTAATACTTGTAGTATTTAAGAGAGAGATCAGTGAATGACATGATTTTCTTCCATCAACAGAGCTAGGTAAAAGTATACAAGAATTGGAAAGAATCAAAAAAGCAATTGAGTCAGTCAAGACTGAAGTTGAAGAAGGGCAGAAGAAACTCTCGCAGTATAATTTGCAAGATGAAATACCTAAAAACTCTTTGACATCTAAAACAAATGATGTTAAAGGAAATAAAACTTCCCCAGATGATGATGGTCTGTGTAGCTCTCTTACAAAAGACAAATGTCTTGTAGCTCCAGTCTCGAAGTACTCTAGCAAAGGCTGTCATTTGGTATCCAGTAAATATGTCATTGACCATAGTTGTCCAGCAACTGACCTTGAATATGATCCACTGCTAAATTATTCTGCAGGCCTACTCAGCTCTTCCATAATGAAAGAGCAGGAAAATGAGATACAGCAATTTAAGCGGGTGAAAATGCCTCTTGCTGATTTTCACATGGAGTCTCCAAAAATGTCTCCATGTGGAAATCGGCATGGATCCCCAAAGAAGAGATCAAGAAGCTATTCACCTATCAAGCTTGAAATAAAGCTCCAAGAATCTGATGATGATGATATTCTGGTTATTGATGCTCCACCATTGACTGTCACTAAGAAGCCAAGAATAAGTAGGAGCTTTAAAAACTGGAATAGGGAAGAAAACAAACAAGTTGCTGTAACATGTGCAGAAAATCTGCAGAATAGTAACGTAGCAGAAGATGCTCTTAAGTCTATTGAGGAAAAACGAGCAGAAGTTACTGTAATTCTGCAAAAGGATGCCAACGCAGATGTAAGCAACCCTGAAAAATCACTGAAAACTCCACCAAAAACTCAAAGTGCATATTTGCCTGATGTGAAAATTAATGCTTTGAAGTCTTTAAATAACCTTTGTGAACAAAGAAAATCGTTTACTGTCTCTAAGGAAAATAATATATCTTCAATTTCTCATATTAAGGCACAGACACAGAAAGAAACGTTGAAGAAAGAAGATCCAAAGAGTGAAATATCAGTGAAAACATCTGTTGAAGAATTGAGTACTAATAAATATAAAAACACACCGACTTGCAAGAGCGAGGCCCAAACTAGCCTGTATTTTGAAGCCAGCTCAAAAGACAAAACTGTGCTAACTGCACAAGGGACTTGTAAAAAATTACCTATAAATATAGGGAAAATTCAGATCATACACGAAAATGGTGAAAATGAAGTGTTGGGGAATGCACCCATTCATCCCAGCACACCCTTGAATTTGGGTGAGAAAATTTGTCATGATGTAGATCTCTTGACTAAAAACCGTAGTGGAGAAACTAATAGTAATACTATGAACACTACCATCCAAGAAAGTGAAATAATTATATTAGATTCTTCTTCAGAAGAAGAGATGGAGTATAGTGAAGAGGATACTGAACTCTCTGAATCAGATGACCCTATAGAGGAATGCCGGAGAATTTTCAATGAGTTTGTTGAAAGTGAAGCACAGAAGCAAGAAATGGCTAAGCAGGTGCAGTACATTTTGTTGTACATCTGCACTTCCCTCCTTCATGGGGATGCAGAGAGAGAAGTGTTCCATACATTTAGTAAAAAGTATTATAGGTGTTTTCTCTAAACATATAGATCCACATTATGGAAAATGTCCGCTAATATTGCATGCTCAGATTGGGACATGGCCAAATACTCAGAACTGTTGTGCACAGTCAACCCCAGTTCAAGTAATTGGGAGCTTTCCGTGCTCAGCAAATTTGAAGATCATACACTAAATGTTTGAGATGGGCATCCAAAATTAGTGGGCACTCTTTAAAACATTTTTGGCAATAGTGTTTTATCTTTTGAAGTGGCCAGATGCAGTGTATGGGAAATCTAAAATGTGTTAGTCCAAGGGTATGTCTTCATTACCCGCCGTATCGGCGGGTAGCAATCAATTTATCTGGGATCGATATATCGCGTCTCGTTATAAATCGATCCCCGAACGTGCTCACCGTCGACTCTGGAACTCCACCAGAGCGAGCGGCGGTAGTGCAGTCAATGGGGGCAGCCGCGGCCGTCGATCCCGCGCCGTGTGGACCCCAGCTAATTTGATCTAAGATACTTCGACTTCAGCTACGCTATTTGCGTAGCTGACGTTGCGTATCTTAGATCGATCCCTGCCCCGCCCCCCCGTATAGACCAGCCCTTAATAAGTTTTGGATTAACTACATAACCTCTTTATTTGATGTTTCTCAAATTTGGTACCTTTACTAAACAGACTGACTTGTAGGAGACTCTGAATTTTGAAAAATCTACTTATGCTATTAAAATTATTTCTAATAATGAAAATATACCATCTTTTTTCATGTCAACATAAAGATGAAGTCCTTATAGCTTAATCTTGGTCAAGGTATATACTTTAGTTGGTGTAACTTTAGATTGGAAATGTTTGGATTTGTTCCATTAGTTGGAACAGTTGGAAGCCTAACTAGTGAATTATGACATTTAGTCAAAGCCTTGGAACTTCTTAGCAGTTTGTACATTCTGTAGCTAATTAAAGAAAAAACCTGTATTGTCTTTTATTCTTAATTTTAATAGGCTCTTGGAGCTCATGCTGAAGTAGATACATTGGATACCAAGACAAATATGGTTCCTGGGCAGAAGAAAAGAATTGCGCACACTGCAAAATTTGATGTGAGTTTTCTTCTGGGGAATTTTTGAGAAATATGCCTATATTATATAAACAATTAAATAATTAGTATTTTTTACTAATCTTCAACTTAGTTAATTCCTTTTGAGGCTCATCTTAAATGAGGTATGTTAAGCTAAAAATTGTAGTGAAAACTGTTTACTTGTAAATCCTTTCTTTAACCTCTATAAATTACAATTAACTTTAGCAAAGACTAGTAGTGACTGAACTGTAGGCCTGCAAATTGAGATGTATATTTTTGCTTCACTGAGCTCACAGTGAACGTACCACCACAATGAAGATCATGACGGTCAGAAAAAATTGAAGAAAATATTAAATCTAGGGTGCCATTGACTTCAATTGTAATTTGCACACTACTTGTTCTAATTTAGGAAAGGGGTGGCCCATTTTGAGCTGGCAGACACAAACCATTCTACCTAACTGTTGCAGTACAACTATGTGTTCGTAAGTTCCAATTACAGCATCAACTTGGAAACAGCAGCAAAACTGTTTGTTTTTGAACAGCCTAGTTGAAAGCTTGCATTACCTGCTATAGATCCTGCTATACACCTCTACCCCGATATAACATGTTCCTCGGGAGACAAAAAATCTCACCACGTTATAGGTGAGACCGTGTTATATGGAACTTGCCTTGGCCCCCCCATTCCTTGTTTCCTGACTGCTCCGACCCCTATCCACACCCCCCGCCCCCTGACAGGCACTCACCAGCAGTGGCGGGAAGCACAGCAACGTGGCCCCAGCCTGCTTCACTTCGCCACCTCCCAGCCGCGGCGCTCCGCTTCCCGCCCCCAGTGAGTGCGGGGAGGTTGGGGAACAGATGCCCTCCGCACTCACCAGCGGTGGGAAGCGGAGTGATGCGGCCCCAGCCCCAGATGTGTTTCTGGGGGAGGGGCAGGGGGTGTTGGGGAAATGTCCCGCGCTCACCTGCGGCAGGAAGTGAAGCGCCGCGGCTAGGAGCTGGCGGAGTGGAGCGGGTGGGGCCGGGCTGCTCCACATCCGTCACTGCTGGTAAGTGCGGGGGGGATCCCTTCCCCTAAGCCCCCTCCCCCGAGCGACACGGCTGGGGCGAGGGAAGCGGAGCGGGCTGCTCCTGGCCCCCTGCTAATCCGCCGGGTCACTCTGGGATTTCAGGGCCCCCAAAATTGCCTCCCCACAGCTCCTGCCTCCTAGACCCTGGGGGGAGGGAGCCCCTGACTGCCCCCGAGACCATCTGCCCCTTATCCAACCCCTCGGCCCCGGCCCGGCACCCTTAACACGCTGCTGTGTCAGAGCTTTACCGCGTTGTATGCGAACCCATGTTATATTGGGGAGAGGTGTATTATGTTGTATATGGACGCTTCTTTGCTCGTTTGAATTGCATTCGAACAATTGCTTAATAATAAACAGTGAGTATAGTTCCACTGAAGGTCATTGGGACTACTCACTTGCTTATTAAGCATGTCCTGAGGCGACAGTTGAAAATGCAACACTTAATTATACTTCATTGAGCTCTTTGACTTATGAATGAACCTCCTTCAGCTGAAAGTGTCCTGATGCACAGTGCATGATCTTTTCTAAAAAGATCGCTTGCCCTCGCCACCCCCATTGGCCCGGGACGGAGAACCGCGGCCAGCGGGGGCCGCGATCGGCCGAACCTGTCGCGTCAGCAGGTAAATAAAACTGGCCCGGCCCGCCAGGGTGCTTACCCTGACGATCCGCGTGCCGAACATTGCCGACCCCTGTTCAGCATATCTTAGTTCTAGAAACAGGAACATTCCAAATAATACAATGTGAATATATGTCTTAATATTTTGTAATTAAAAGAACAACAACTGTTGAAAAGCAATGTACGGCACTGCTTGCTCATCCTATGTATATAAAATGCAACTTCTTAAAGTGTTTACCCTGACGAGCTGCATGCCGAACGTTGCCGACCCCTGTGATAGAACTCTTCAGTTGAGGCCTGCATTACAAGACTGGAGGATTTATCCTGCTACTGTTGTCATATCCATTATGGGGAACTGCCTTCAGATGTTAATGATATCAGTCACAGGAGAAACAAAGTTCTGAGCTTGGTTCTTAGTATGAAATGTAAAACATAAAGTACAAATTAGTGTGTATGGCAGACAGTCAACATCTAGTCTCTTACTGATTTATATTTTTCAATAATATGTACTATACTATATACCTAACTCCACTGATAACCTTGAATCAGACTACATTTATGTGTAAAAGGTTAATTATCCTTATCTTCTAGGGATGAAACATACTCTTTTTCACATTTAATCTGATATTCTGCTTGACATCTACTATAAGTATCCCAGACCAACTGCGCCATCTCTCTGTATATAATATATACTGGTGTATATAATTTTTTTAAATTGAATAGATTCAAATAAAATCCTGTAACTTAACATTTTTCACTCAGTGTGAGTTTGCATATGGATGACTGCAGGGTCAGGCCTTGTTGGTTTAAGGGTGTCTTGCGAGGATTTTGCCAGTATGGTGCATGGTGTGTTTTGCTTTCTGTTTGAGTTACTGATCATATGCTCTTCACAGGTCTTTATCTGAAGATCATTGGGAAATATATGCAAACTGTGACTTACTGCTTACTTTCACATAGGAGGCATGTTGTGCCTCTTCTCCAAAAACTGTTATTCAGTTTGTATTTAGATGGCCTATAAAATGGTGACTTGAATTTCTAAAGTCCTTTGTTGTTCCAGTCCTAGTATCTTAGAGACTGTTCTCCCCCACCGCCCCATTCTTTACCCTGGTGTTTGACATCAGCTAGGTTACTTTGCAGTTGCTTGGGTGAGTAATGTGGGATTTAAAAATATATATATAAAGACCACAGGGCCTGATCTTCAGCTGGTGTGAATTAGTTGAGCTCCATTGTCTTCAGTGGAGTTCTGTTGACTTATGCCTGCTGAGAATCTGGCCCTATAGCTTGTCTTGTTGGGGGGAAAAAATTCTTTAAGAAGGAATGTAGAAGAGATGGTGGAAGTATATATTTGGATGCAGTCTTCTCTCATAAAATACATTGTAAATGTATTCTCCTATGACTTTGTTAGCTTGTGAATTTGGAAGTGTATTTTGACAAATGTGCAATTGGTTGAACATTCTAATTTTCATGCCCATTAGGTACAGACCAACAAAGAAATACTTGTGCCTTTTAAGGCACCTCTTCCACAGCAATCTTGTCCTACCAGAATCCTGCAGGCACAGCAACAGGCAGTGCAGATAACAGCTGCTGTTAAAAGTGGACAGGCTTTTGTTGCTGCAACTTCTGGACAGAAGAAAACTGTACCTGTATTGTCAACTACTCAGATTCAAAACGTAGGACCAATGGGTATGATATCTCAATTCACTGTAGGCTTCACAAAGTGGGATAAACCAGGTTTTTTTAATAAATTTTGGTCTTTGGATTACTTTAAAATACTTTGATCAGTTTGTTTTGTTCCAGATGTGAGCGTTCTTAAAACATTTTGGATGCCTGAGTAAACCCTTAATTTATTTTATTGTTCTAAGTATCCTGGCTGAGTCAACATTTTAATGTCAGTTTACATTAATGCAGTTAGTTTTGTGTTTGGTTTTGGGTGAAGTTCTCTCTAAAATGTTTGGAGGCAGTTTTGAGGGGCTGGAATGAAACAACTTTCAACATATATAATTGTTTCAAGTTACTGTCAAGTATGTAGGGTTTCTCAGAAGCCCTAAAGCATGGCAATTACTCGCTTTCTTTCCTGCCCTTGTGTATTTGCTTTCCTGAAAGCCTTCCTCTAGTTCAGTGGTTCTCAAACTGTGGGTCAGGATCTCATTTTGATGGGGTTGCCAGGGCCAGTCTTAAACTTGCTGGGGCCCAAGCCTAAGCCCTGCCGCTCAGGGCTGACGCCAAAGCCTGAGGGCTTTAGCCTGGGGCAGTGAGGATCAGGGTCCAGACCCCTTTTCTCCCAGATCATGTAGTGATTTTTGTTGTCAGAAAGGGGTCTCAATGCAAAGAAGTTTGAGAACCGCTGCTCTAGTTTGAAAGAAAATACCAATAACGTAACATTTGTTATATCTCTATTCTAATTTTAAAAGTATACCCACTTTAACTCTAATTTAATTTTTAAAAGAATGAGTACTCCCTGCCAGTTGTTGTGCTGTTAAAATGTTTTTTTTTTAACATTCTTTCTTTGCTACGTGAAAGTTTTCCTACTTTGAGTGTGTCTATGTATTCAATGTTGTCAAATGCCCAAAGTGTATGTGGTTAAAAAAATATATCTATTATATATGTATATATAATTATTTTTCCTCTTAATTTTTCAGCTAATGATTTTAGGTATTTACTAACAAGGCCTTTGGGCAAAAATATTCCCTAGTGTAATTCTTGACATCAGTGGAGTTACTACATGGATTAATTTAGTACTTTATACGTAGCCTGAAGGCTTTTTGGTTGTACAAGCCTGGCTTTTCAGCTCATTAATTTCAAATGAGCACATGTAACAGAATGTAATTGATGAGTGAGTGTTTCTCATGCTGTATAATTGTCTTCTCACTTTCTATTCCCTTCAACCATGTGGTAGAAACTGGTGCCAAGAGGATCTATTTAGCAAACTGGTGGGCAGCCTGTGAGGGTAATCTGCTGGCGGGCCACAACACAGTTTGTTGACATCAACCGTCCACAGGCACGGCCACCCACAGCTCCCAGGGGCTGCGGTTCGCCGTTCCCGGCCAATGGGAGCTGCAGGAAGCGGTGCGGACCGGCTGCTGCTTTCCGCAGCTCCCGTTCGCTGGGAATGGCTAACCGCGACCACTGGGAGCTATGGGTGGCCGTGCCTGTGGACGGTTGATGTCAACAAACTGTGTCGCGGCCCGCCAGCAGATATCCTAATGGGCCGCAGGTTGCCCACCACTGATTTAGTGTAATAGCTATAATCCATACACTGTACCTTGGGCTTGGGGCCTATTTCTAAACTTTGTTAATTATTTACTTTTCTTGTGGTTTGTTCCCCATTTTTGGAGTTAGATTTCACTTACATGCCTCAAAGGTTTGTTCTGGTCTTATATTAGTAAAGCACTTGGAGACCTCAAATGAAAGTTTTATATCAAGTTCTTATAAGTTTACCTGAATAAGTATTTTACTTTACCACCCTGCTGCCCATCACTGTAATATGAGTGCCTTCCACATAAAGTAGATTAGCAAAGTGAAGTTACTGGTGTGCTTTTTGGAATCTCTAGCTATTATCCTAAAGTTCAGCTAACTTTGAATTTGGTTACCAAAATAAAATTGTAAAGAATGTGTGTCCCATGTGGCAGGGGCGGTGAGTTGTATGGGCCCGTGGTACCCGTGCTCCAGGAATATTCAGAGCACAGGGGCCCGGATCCACCAGTGTTCGGGGCCAGGTCTCTCCCCTGGCACTGCCTGCCACCTAAGCGTGCCTCCCTTGGAGCATCTCCTGGCCCTGCCTGCTGCCCCCGGGCGATTTAAAAGTGCCTGAGGGCCACCACTGGCAGCGCAGCGAGACTAAAGTGACTTCCTGCCTGCCCTCGCTCTGCGCGGCGTGCCACTCTCGGAAGCGGCCGGCACATCCCTGTGGCCCCTTGGGCAGGGGCGGGGAGTGTCTCTGCATGCTGCCCCTGCCCCGAGCACGGACTCTGCCATTGGAACTGTGGCCAATGGGAGCTGCGGGGGCAGTGGCCGTGGGCTGCGGCAAATGGAGACCCCCGCCTAGGAGCTGCTGCCAGAGGGGTGGGAGTCGCCCAAGGTAAGCATCACACCCTTCACCCCCTCCCGCACACCTGCCCTAACCCAGAGTCTGCACCCAAACTGCCTCCCAGAGCCGCGCTCCCTCCTGCATCCAAACTCATTTCCAGAGCCTTAGACGGGGGTGGGGGACTTGGACCTGTTCTGGGCACCACCAAAAATTATACAAACCTGCCGCCCCTGCCATTTGGTGAAAGGAGATTGAGCAGTAAAACTTCATTCTTAATGAATAACTATATGTAATAACTACCTTCTGTTGTTTCAGTATGTTTAAATTTGCTTGAAGTTCAACCTGTTGCAACCAGCAGTGGTCAACTGAATGTATTCCTTCAAGGAAATGCTGTAACAGCAATGCCATGCAGACCTTCTAATATTTCAATAAAAAGGATTGCTCCCATGCCTATTAAGGTACTATAATAGTAGTAAATGTTTGGGCACATGTCCCCAAATACTGCAGTTATCAGGAAAAACTCCTATTGATTTTATACAGAGGCTTGCTTGCTAAGCACTGCAGGATATGCAAATATTAAATGTTAACTTTTTCTGAATATTTCATAATCACATCATACAGTAAGTACTGCTTTCAAGTCCATTTAATAATACTAACAATTGGTGTTATTCTGTGTGGTTACAAGTGGCCAGATTTGAGCAGTATTGTATACTAGCAGAACTGTAGCTCACTCTTCTGCCTTCTCATAACTATCACCCTTCTGCTGAGAAGTTGCAGACATCTGGGCATTGCAGGTGGTTTCTTGTGGGAATAGGTAGCAGCGATTAGGTGTCTGGATATTATTGTTGCATGTTTTACTTACACTACATACAGCAGACCTTTATTAGAGGTGGTCAGACAGCATGTAGGCAATCCTTTCTTTCAGGAATCTCAGCCAGATCACCAGTGGTAGGTTTCAGGGAGCAACTCTGCCCCAAGAATTTACTAGTTAGAGATTAAGGCAGAGAGCAAAATGTCCTGCTGGTAACTGCTCTTCCAAAAAGAGAATCTCACAACTAACAATGCAGCATTTCTTAAAAGGCCGAACAGTGCTTGCACACTAAACTTGTTAAACTGTAATACTATCATCTAACTCCCCTAGATGATCAGGTTTCAGATCAACCTAAAGGTAATTAATGATGGTGTTACTGTGTTCCCTGGCTTAATTTAGTCTAGTCAGGCCAAATAAAATTATTGTAAAATAGTTATCTTATAGTTGTACTGGCTAGAGTTAATAAAGACAAGTGCATCTGAAATTATTTGTACATATGATATTGTGACATAACTTAGCATGATAGCAGGTTTGTTGGCATAGAAATGTTTTATCTTATACAAGATCTGAAGGGGATGGCTTCATTCAATAAAGTATTTTTCCTCTTCTAGAAAGCAGAAGTTGAAAGGTTTCCATAAACTCTTTTAATGTGAGTCCAAGTAGTAGTGCTTGGTTGCAGTAGGTTTATAGTGTGTTAGCACGGAGGTGCTCTGTCATCTTGAGCAACCAGATTCTGTGTAGAGTACCATTGGTCTTGCTTACTTTCAGACAAAGATTCCTCTATCTTGATTTACTGGCAGAAGGCATGAAAGTTTTTGGGATAAAGTTAAAATTCACTTATGGGAGTGTACTTTAAAGCTCTAAGCTTCAGAGTAGGCTAGGTAAATCTACATGTCAAGCAGAACTTCAATAATCAAATTGAGTTTAAATTTAAAAAACCATAACCCAGAGTGAATAAATCAGTACAGTAATAGCATAGTAGCTCAGCATGCCACCACAATAGCATCTTTTGTAGGCTATTAAACACAATTTTCAATTAAAACCGCTTACTAGATTGCTTCTTCAGTGTTGCTGAAGCAGTTTGAAATTGATTAAAACCTTCAAAATGTATGTTTTAAAGACAAAATTCATTTACACTTCAATGATGGTCTCTCCCAAGTACCAGATTGTTTATGGCTGGTTCTCAAACTTGCTTTTTTGATCTCTCTCAAAACTACTGTCTGGAAGGCATTGTGGCTAACATGTTCTCTAGAAAGAGACTGACAAAATTAGAGGGTGATGAGAGTATCCTTATCTTTCTTTCTCTTCCACCAAAACTACTTACTCCTAGATGTTGGTAAATATCATTTAGATGGTGATGATCATTCAGTATCAATACATAAAAGCCAACCAGTCTATGAGAATAAGTGGGACTAAGATTACATGTTATAAGTATACTGCTTGCTTAATAGTGACCCTGTTTGGACAAAATTTTAAAATTGGGCATGTTATCACACCAGGCTTCTGGATTTGACAGGTTTCTCCTCAACTTCTTATTAAACAAAAATTTAAATTCTATTATGGCAAGCCTTGAGGAATCTTACATCTAATACAAACTCTTTTTTTCTAAATGACAAAGCTCTTAGATCGTACCAAATAAATTAACTCCTGCAGTGTGCTTTCAGTCTGTGTTCTGACTGAAAAATATTTAGACACAGGCCAAAAATAGAAACTGTTGACTATTAGATGATAGCTGGAGCTGGTAACTCTTCCTGAGGGTAACACTGTGTTCTATCTAACCCTGCTTTTTGTTTGCTCTTGACTTTTTGAAACTTTTTTAGCTGAAAATTTTTATACTTCATTCTGGACTAAATAATTTTTTTTTAGTTTGAGTAAAAACTGAATTATTTATATTATTCAGCTCCTTGTTATAACATATGAACTAAATATTGAATGTTCTCTCTAAGGTTTCTAGTCGGAGAAGGCTTTCTATAATTCCAGAATCTGGATCCAAAGTTCCACATGACACAAGACAACGATATGTCAACTTTTTTGTTGAAGAATATTTGAAAGTTTGTAGGACAGTAAATGAAGCTTTTGATAAGGTTTGTATTGGTTATGAAGAAAAGCTTTAAAGATGTATAACACTTAAACTTTTCAAGTAAATGAACACGTTACTTGCTATACATGGTTGTGGAAAAATGTTGAGAAAAGACCCATTAAAATCAAGTATGTGTATAAGCCATTTGAAAATAATCTAGTCATTAGCAGATAAAAACTAGCAATTTACTACTTCCTTACACCGTTCATTTCTCTCATGTTGTCCAAGTGTAAAATATACTTTATTGAAATGCGTGGAAGCTATCATAAAATAAAACAGTTCCCTTTAAAATATGTCAGCATTTACATCTTTTATGAGAAATTAATACCTTAGTGCCATTCATGTTTGTAGTTACCTGTTTGGCAACAATCCTCATTCAAAAAGCAGCCACAATGGTCCAGGTCATTGTTTTCCCTGGAGATTCTATTATACTGTCCACCCCACCCCAAGTAAATACAAATTTTCACTTAGTTGTATAATGGGCTCACGGGCACTAGCAGCCTGGGCAACATCTTCAGTGTGATCCAGATTTCTTGATTATTGCAAATTTGAGGGCGTTCTGTGAAGCCGTTCTGCTAGGGTCCCAGGTAAATGTCTGTAATTCCTTGTTTCTGTGCTTCATATTTTCCTAATGTCTTTCCTTTATTCTTAAACTGTTTTATTCTTTCATTTTACTACCCTGAGAGTTGGTCTTCACTACAGGGAGATTGACACTGCTGCAATCTATGCAGCAGGGGTTGATTTAGTTTAGCGGGTCTAATGAAGACCCGCTAAATCAATGGCAGAGCGCTCTCCGGTTGACCCCGATAAGCCACCTCTCTGAGAAGATTAAGGGAAGTTGACTGGAGAGCATCTCCTGTCGACTTACCCCAGTGTCTTCACTGTGCTGCAAGTCAACCTAAGCTGTGTCAATTTAGCTGGTGTAATGCAACGTAGGTCGACTTACCCCAGTAGTGAAGACAAGCCCTTAGTCTCTTACTTATCCCCCTCAATTTGCCACATGTAAAACCAAGGAAAGAAGTAGCTGTTGCCTCTGAGAGACAGGAACAAATTTTTGCTATCAAGTGTTCTCCAAAACAGAAAGCCAGGTTTGCTGCAGCAGGTTCAATCTAGAAACCTATCTCATTAGCTCTTCTTTCCTCTTCAGTCAAATTGCTTCATGTCTTTCAATTTCTTCCACTACATGCTTACAGGAGAAAGCTTGGGGAATTTTTCCTAGCCTTAAAAATGTTATAGGAGCTACTGACTTCTTCTGTATGCTCTGTGGTATTGCTTATATCTGTCCCCAAGTGTCATAGTACTAAACTGCCTTGAAATGGCACATGCAGAATCTACCAGGCAATAATAAAATAAAAACATAAATTAAAGTAAATAATAAAATAAGACAGATCAGACTACTGCTTAGGACCCCAAAAAATGGGAGTGGAAATAATATCCGCCCTCCAAAAGAAACCTTGACCATTATTTTCTTCAGACTTTAATGTTACACTAACTGTGTTTCACTTAGTTGTATAATGGTGCTCTTTATATCATTCAGTTTCATCTATTTGCAAGACAAGATTCCAGTAATCCCTATCTATAAATTAATATTTAGGATTTATTTAAAATATCACTCTTATTTTCACTCAGAGGTGTGTTTACTTTCAAGGGCCTGACTTCACTATCTAGTTCCTGAAATGGAGTTTTTTCTAAATATTACTTCCAAATATTTGTACAACTTATTAAAATATGATAGATGATTAATGTAGCACTTAAGTGTCTAGGACACTTCAGCTTAGAACTGAAGACATTTTCGACTGCAAAACCTTCTTAGACTCTGACTAACAAAGCTTGTTTAAAGATTTACAATAAGCTATATGCCCTTAAATTTTGGTCTTACTCTTTTAAATGTAGGCATTGGTAGAAGAAAAAGCAATTTATGATCGTTGTGGCAGTAAAAATATGTATCTGAACATAGCTGTGAACACCCTTAAAAAGCTGAGGGATCAAGGTAGTCTCTCTCCAAATGGTAAGAAATTATGTATGGAATTGGGGGGGAAGAAAGAGGTGATGCTGTCTGACACAGATAAAGATCATTCTATTTTGCGTGATTAATGATGATTTTATTTAAATTATGTTGGTGTAAACATGCTTCTAAAAGGTTACCAATGAGATGCAATGTTTTAATTCTTAAAGACTTTCACTGTAACTGCCACAGGAAGTCTGAAGTTTGGAAGATGCATTTAAAAATCCTTTAAAAGTGTTCTTCTATTTTTAGGGCAGTCTTGTGGTAGCAGATGGACTAATACAACTGGATCTAGAAAATCGGAAGAGAAGAATGGTAAAACAATCTGATAGTTCTTACCTAAAATATGTAACTTCTCCCATTTACATATAAACTGGGGCAACTTTTTTCAACGTGAAATGAATTTTCATTCCTAGTTTCCTGGTCCTATTCCTATTGTTACATTTTAGATAGCCCCAAATGCCACCCATGACCAACATATGACCAACTTCTAAAACAGAATGAGGATGCTATTTTTTCAGATCACTGATATTTCTAAAGACAAGGAAAGAATTGAATTTCTATATGAAGCAAGAATGCTTTTCAGAGTTATGGTTTTGCAACCTTTTGTTAGTGTTAAGTAGTAACTTGTTGAGTCATTTTAATATCTTACTCTATGTAGGGTTTTGTTTTTTGTTAATTTTGTTTGCTGTCAGAGACATGACAGGTATATAATTTTTGAGAGTGATCAGGTAAACAAACTGTAAAATGATTCAGTATAACTGAAGCAAAACCTTACATGTGCATCTAAGATGTCAAATCATGTTTGTTTTGAAATTTATTGTCTTGTCTGCTCTAACCTCTCTTTAAATGCTATTAGATTTTTCAGGGATTGTTCTCTATAGAATTTTAAAAGACTATGTTCTGACTGAGGAACAATTGCATGAGAGTGGCTACCCGCAACCAAATCCTGAAAAACCTGGCAGTGCTATATTGGGTAATGGCATTACAAAAACAGCTGTATCTGATGGTAAGTGAATGAAACCAGAATTTGTAAATGTATATCTATAACAGTTGATATGGAAAAACTAATTTCCCCCCAACACACAACTTCTTTCTCTTAAACTTAACTTTCTTTTGGTATCTGGTATATATTGTATTGAAATTGTGTACAATAGTGTTATGTAACTACTTGGGCCCTGATTGTTGCAAACTGTTACAAAATTCTTTAGGTTTTATTCTCAAATAATTCCATTAATGTTAGTAAAACTATTTGGTGAGTGAAATTCTTGCCCAGAATTGCATATTCTGTCCACAGTGCAGTATTAGTAAACCAAAAAGGTTCGAGAGTCTTTGACTTCAGTAATTGGATTAATAAAAGATACTTCAAGAATTTAACTTGTGAGTTTTAAAAAAAAGTCTTTAAGAATTTTTTTAAATTCTTATAACTGAAGCATATATCAGAATTATGCCACAGGAATTCATATTATTTTAGTGCTAAATTGTTTTTGTCATATAACTTGACCAGCCTTGGAAAACTTGTCATAAAAATGTATTTACTTAGCTAGACAAGTAGTTACTGTGCCTATCACTTCCCTGATAATTGAAAAGGAAGAAGATCTTGTATTGTTTCATTTGTCCAGAATGAGGAAAGGAGGGCAAGTAGAATTTTTTCAAGGCTGAATTTTAATTAGTCATTGAACTATCATACTACTTTCAGCTTCCAAAAGAGTATGTTGTAGATGTGGAGAAATATACACTGTTACTGCTTCAGGAAAGCACATTCGTAAAGAAGAATGCAACTACCATTCTGGTAGAGTACTAAGACAAAAAGGTTAGTATAGTTCGTGTTCACGCTTGATGTAAGCCAGTATCAAAAATCATTTAAAAGAACTTTTTAATTACTAATGTTTCATATTACAATCTTGTTTACCACCTTGAAGTGTGCTTGGATTGGGATGCAGATAAAACTAGAAATATCTGCTGTGCCCTGGGGATTGAGAATACCTAGCAACATATCAAATGTCCATGTGTAAGAAGCCTGGGTTCTACTGACCTAGACACACCATCATGGAGTCAAGTACAGGTGCATTAAAACATGTCCCTTGCTTGAGGAAAGTAAAACAAGTACTGATTTGTTTCAGTCATTTGACTGCTTTTTGAATTTTCCTTTAACTTTTATGGCAGTTCCTGGTGGCTTGGAAACACGGTATAGCTGTTGTGAAGGAGTAGTTGGGTCTCCTGGATGCCAGGTTGCAAAGGTAGGAACATGTTACTAGTAGGCTTCTCAGACTTTTTCACAGTGGGGATCACATCTTAAGAAACAGTGTCTCAAGACCCACTTCCCTTTCCAATACAATAGCAGGGGCTGTATACTTGTGATCACAAAATAATCCTGTGGCTATTTTCATGGAAATGAAATAGGAAAGTAATTGTATTGTTTCAGCTATTTCTAATATAATTAGGGTTGTTTTTCCAAAAAGAATCGCATCTAATTTTGTTTATTTTTGTGTGTCCTTTTCCTCCATTCATTTCTCCCTTCAGGAAAAACGAGAGCCAGCACCTTGTGACCAGCCAGTTACCCATGGCCCACCAGTTGTCATAGGTGTCAAGTTTATGAAGCACTATCTTTACAGAAACTTGGGTTTCTGTATTAAGATTTAGTAGGCTGAGTGGAGAATGTTAAATAAAAGGCTCTCCTGTTTAACTCTAGTTAGTCTGTATCAAAGAACTTACACTCTCAGCAATCGAATAACACCTGGTCTACACTTAAAATGTAGGTTGACAGACTTGCGTTGTTCAGAGGTATGAAAAATCTACGCCACTGAATGAAATAGCTATGCTAATCTAACCACCCAGTGTAGATGCAGCTAGGTCAATGGAAAAATGTTTCCCTTGATCTGGCTACATTTGGATGGGGAGATGGTGGCCATACACTGATATTAAAAACCCCTTCCAACAGCATATCTCTATAACTATGGGGTTATGCTGGCATTGCAATAAGACACTTATTAATCACATTTTAATGCTAATGGAAACTTCACAGCTCCATGTCCATGATGGCCGAAAGGAGAACCTGGATGGCTTTGTGAAGACATTTATCAAACTAACTCCAGCTGATGGAAATCATGGTGTGTTTGCACTCGACTGTGAGATGGTACGGTTAACTTTAGGCTTCTTGAAATATTCAACTCAAACCAAACATTTGTCAGCTACTTTTGAATGTTGCTTCATAGGAAATACTGTGTATAATTTTGTTCTAGGAATAAAAAGTGGTGGAATGGGTTTTCATTAAGATTTAGGCTGAACTGGATGCATTCTATCTATGAAGACTGATACAGAATTGGAGGCTGTTTAGTATTAGCTAAATAAAACAGTGACTGCTGTTATCACATCCAGAGACTGCTCCTTAAGGAAAGATCGAGATGTAATCAATATAGAGAAACTTAACAGTTGCGGCAATCTATGTTGATTTTTTTTTGGTGGGGGGGGGAAGGGAAACAAAACTACTTAAGTGTGGTTGCAGGAAAGGGTAGGTAACACTATTATTTGGACTCCACAGTACCTGTGTGGTTCTTTCATGTTACATATCTTGTATAAAGAGCAAAAGGCACAGAGGTGACACATTCTAAATTCTCATTTAACACTTGTTTTGTTTTTCTTTTAGTGTTACACAACACAAGGTCTGGAACTTACTAGAGTGACAGTGGTTGATTCAAACCTACAGGTTGCCTATGATACACTTGTTAAACCAGATAATGAAATCATAGACTATAATACTAGGTATGCATATCTTTTTAAAAAAAAAACCTGTAACATTTGAAGATGTTAGTGCCTTAATTCACGAACTGTTGATTTTAATTCAATAAAAACTCCGTTCAGAGAAGTTAGTATGTATTTTCTATATTTACTTTTTAAAACTTTCTTCTGCCTATTGGAGGTAAATTTGGATACAAAACAATTGGCTACCCCCTTTAAGTTAAACAAAAAACTCTTTTCTACATTATGTAAATTTTCCCCGTTTCTCCCCAAATGAATAGTTGCATTTTCATGTGACATTACTTACAAATCTAGAGATGTCGGTGTTTGTGATCCCTGTCTGAAGCATCACAACTTTAAATAACAAACTTAAAAACTTACTGGAGTAAGATTTGATGAAATGTGGCTGCTATTAATGCAGATTCTGTACATGTCCTATCTCCCTGTCAGTCAGGCAAGAGGCATCCATCGTGGATGCAAAAGTTTTTTTTCGCTTCAACCTCCTCAGGATCCTCATGCATTCCGTTCTGAAGTCTTGATTTCTGCCTTTGCTGAAGTAGCATCAAATGTCTTAAGGCAAGGCAACCTTTTTAGAGGCTTTTGCTTTTTACTTGCTCTGATTCACTATCAAAGAGGAGGAGAAGGAAGAAGCCCAGCAAATGCCAAGTCTGTGGTTTTTGCCTCAATCTGTCAATAGCGGGACCTGTGTCCTTGCAGTCCCCCAAATCCTCCTTCCTTCTAGGCTTACGTGGACAATCTGCAGCCAGCTGTCACAGTAGTTTTTCTGAAAGCGGGGCCAAAGCCAGTAACCTCATTATCCTGGCACCTATGCTGGAGAGGAGAATAAAAATTGGTCTACTGTCGGAGTTCAGTGTTCTACGTTTAACTCTACCCAGTATTGGAATTTGAATGCTACAAAAAAGAATCCAGAGACGACTACTTCCCACTGTTGTTCACTTGCTATATTTCTCACTTACTGAAGCTCTTTTAAATCTATCTTAGATTTTCTGGAGTGACAGAAGAGGACTTGAAGAACACATCATCATCTATTCGGGATGTGCAGGCAATATTGCTAAACTTGTTCAGTGCAGATACTATTTTAATTGGACACAGCTTAGAAAATGATTTATTTGCTCTTAAGGTAAAACATTTAAACATTGGTTCTGTGAAATTTCTACAAGATTTTTTTGAAACCTGTGCTGTCACTAACTTTAACTTAAAAGTAATTGGTCTTCAGAAGAATATCTTTAGAATAGAACTGAACTTATTGCAGGATATAATGGTTCCCAGTTAAAGTAATGAAATAGGGAATAAAAGTTAAGATTTTGGCAGATTAATTTGTCAGCATGCTGTGGTTCATAATGTATATTATGACATTGATGAAATGAATAGCTTTCATATACTTAGATACAGAATAGAAAAAGTTATCAATACATAGATACAACACAAGCAAGCAAACGTCAATGAAAATTTCACTTTTCCTTTTGATTTTTTTTGTGCTTTTAACTATGCAGTTTTACGTCATCCTTGCATTATATTTTCCTTTATATTAAATGGGGGGGGGGGAAGAAATCTGCCACTATTTGCCTTTTTAGCATAAACTCTAATGAATTCGCCAACTGCTTATAATTGCTTTAAAACAGTCGGTGCACATTTAAATAATTGAGCATATATTTGTACTGAATCACTGCTGAAGCAAGCATCGTTAAACACAAAACTTCTGTTGCATGTATTCAGTACTCAGGTTTCTAACAGTCAGAATTTATTGGACTGACACTAGTGAAAGGCACTAGTGCTCAATGGAAGATTTCAGCCAAATGTAAAAAAGAACCAAGCATTTGGCAATCCTAGTAGGGAGTCACTGCCATTGATATTCAGAAGCTACAATTATGAATTTTTTTCATACGACATATGAACGTATCAGGGTGCTTTTCATATAGTTTTCAGGCAAGAATAAAAAGTGGTAAAATATTAGCTTGTGGCCTAAAAATAGTTGATAGTTGTTGACTGTACATCAAATTAACAAACTTCTAGATCGTGGAAGTAATATACATAACACTTTTCAGAACATATAAAGACAGCCCCAGCCCTTAAGAATTTACAATCTAATAAGACCAGATAAAACAGAACAGGAATAGTATGAAGAAATCAAGGGTGAAACCAGTTGAAGGAAGTGGGTTATAAAAAGGGACTTAAAGGTGACAGAGGTAGTGCTTTAACCATGAGATAATTTTTAAGTTTTATTTTATTAAAGGAAAAATGTAATTGGACTTGTGATCATGGATGTACTTAACACAGACCACTGCAATTTTTTTTAACAGCTGATTCATAACACTGTTGTGGACACAGCAGTGGTGTTTCCTCATCGGCTAGGCTTGCCTCATAAAAGAGCACTTAGAAATCTAATGGCTGATTACCTCAGACGAATTATTCAAGATGATGGTAGGCGCTTATTTTAGTTTCTATACAAGCCATTGGTGATTTGCATAATAAAGGAAAAGTACCAAGCAACTGCCAATCTAATAGTACGGTTGTTGCTGTTTAAAAACTTGCTAACTTTGTCTTAGATGAAATTACATCAGTATTGCAGTGTTCATTGTAGTATATACATAAAATACTGCAAGTGTAGATGTGGAAGTATTTAAGGCAAAATTGTCACCCTTTAACTTGTCAACTATCTTTTTGTGTGTGGGAATGATGCTCTTAATTTCACTAATTACGGTATAGAATCTTGTGTAAGATTGCATTTTACATTGGTTGCACTTTAACATTTCTTCACTTTAGAGACTCTCTTCTCCATTTTCTCTCCCATGAGTAAAGTGAGTAATATCTCTCAAAGCGGAATTAACTTTCAAAGTGCAACTTGTGTACCTATGTTTCAGCCATTTTCATTTATGCACATGTCAATTATTTTGGAGGATTACTTTTAGTCCAATTTTCGAATGCAATATTCAGTAATTTTTTAATATTTTTTATCTCCTAAAGGCAAAAGTTCTAATTGTGACTTCAGTTTTTTTTAAATAAAATTCTTTATACAAAACCGATGTATGTATCAAATGTATAGAAACATGAACAAGGAAATCATGCTGTCTACAAGTAGCACTAAAAGGGGGAAAACCAATTTGAGAGAGTCAAAAAAAATGAATGTCTGAGAATCAAAATGGAAAACGTAATGGGTTATGGCTGATAAATATTTTACATGCATATTTTAAACACACATTCACACATGCTAGCTAGAGACATGACACACGAGGTTTTTTGTTAGGAATCAAAATACCATCCTTAAAATTTCATTGGATTTCAGTTTTAAAATCATAAAAATGAATTGCTCAGTTGGGCTTAAAAGAAAAATCAGTAAAACTACATACACAGTATACATGTACAATTACTTCTACAGGCTAAAATGAGACATGCTGTACATTAGTCATCTGATTGAAAGCACTATTTTAATGAGTTCCCAGACACACACTTTTTTGAGCCTTAGGGGAAAAAAATGGAAACTGCCCGCAGTACTTCAGATTAGCACTTCTGTATTTAGCTCTTTGTTAACACAGTTCTTCAAATACTGTCTTGATCGACAATCAGTTCTCATTTTCAGAATACTTCTATTTGCTGTATGGCAATCCAATTGAATGAGACATAAGGATGCTTGGGGAGGAAAAGGGGCAAAAAGGGGATTCCAAGGAAGAGCAGGCACAACCTTTAAGCTGCAACATTGCATGGAAGCTGCATAGCTGGACTGTATTTCAAATGAGTAGAACCATTATGTGCAAGATTTTTGGTGTCATCTGGAGCGAATAGTGTACCTTCTTAAAAATAAATTGTGAAGAATCTCATTTATCTTAACCTGCAGTTTTTCCCCCAGGGTAATTGTTTGACCCTGAATCTTTATTAATCAGCCATAGGAGTTGATAACAGTTGAGGGCAATGAAAATGGATGTCATTAGGGCTACTAAATGTAAGGCTTATGTATACAGTTTTCCTTTTTTAAAATATAATTACACTGAAACACTTTTGGCTAAACTAGTTGGGCCAAAAGTTTTGAACCTATACAAGTTTTGAACACAACTTGTATCTGAATGCATTTGCACTCAAACTCCAGGTCTACGAGGCTCCTAATTGGCAACTGTCTATGATCATGTGGTCTAGATGATTAGTTGAAGGCTTCCTTTCAATAAACATTTAGTTTGTGTAAAGGTAAATATTCTCCAAAGACACCCCTTGCTCTGTGATCTTACATTCCTTGGCTTCTAAATTCTATATACTACACAAGTTTAAATTATGAAATTGTTGTTAGGCATAGTTTCCTTGAAACTTAGAATTTCGGTGGTGCCTACAAAATGTGAATCAATACCTAATATTATTAGGCTTTTTAATAATAGCTAATCAAACAGAAAATGTCTGCACATAATTAACCAAAGTAATGGCATGATCTTGTTGCTTTTACTTGACTCCTTCACCTGAATCCCTTCCTACTATTATGTCCACTCTGTCATGCCCAGTGTTGGATTATAAGCACTTCAGGGACAGGGAACATGTCCGATATGAGGTGCCTAGCATGCTTTTTGATACTGTAAAACAAGTGGTGGTGTCCAGAGCTAATGTGGAAATGTTCAGTCATATACTGAACTACTTTCTTTGTAGTCAACAATATTTGTCTTCCATTTAATAGTTTTAATCAGTAAAGTCCTTTAAAAAATAAGTATCCTACTTTTGATCTCTCTAAGCAAATATCTGATAGAAGATGACTTGTACCTTTTGAACTTCTGTGTTTGAAACTTTCTTGGCTACTGCTTTGTCTTAGAGCTTTGTAATTACAGAGGTACAGTAGCATCTCTACATTAAGCCTGGATTCAGTTTTTCACTTAAAGCAGAGATTCAGAGAATGCAGAATAGTGTCTCTTCCCCAAACTGGCAGGACACACTCTGTAGGTGATGTTTCAACTTCTGGGAATTTTCAACTAAATCTGTTAAATTGGATTTAAATCAAACTTTCTAAAAATGGAAACTAAGTGTTTTCTCCAGTGTTTGTTGGGGTGTTTTTGTGCAGAGTGGAGAGGGGAACTCGTTTAGCGAGCAGTTGTGTTATCACCTAAACGCATTACAAACCTTCCTAGAACATACATTTTAAAGAAATGTACGTCTAATTAAGATATATATGAGAATGAGGTCTCAATAAATTAGGTAAGTGATGCCTTTACAAGGGTTCTTCACTTTTAGATCTCAGTCTCCAAGTTTTTAAGTGTATCAACATCCTGGCTAAAGGTAGTTCTGAATGTCTGAGAATTTCAGTAATAGTCAATAAATATGTAATTAAACAGGTAACCAACAATGCAGACTTTTATACCAACAAAGCTAGAAAATGGTCAGAACTAAATTCATGAAGTTAAAGCCTCCTGTTTGCTTTCTGATGGAAGAAGCTTGCCATGTGATGAAGACAACTTTAAATATTTTTGTGTAGGATACAAAAGGTCTTTGAAAGGCCTCCATATTATGATATAGGAATTTGCGTGGAGATGACACAGTACTTAATACAACATATTAAGTAATTACAGAACAGGTACTTTGTTGTATTTTATTATCTTAACTTGTGCAAATTATAGTTCTTCCAATGAACCTGGAAAGTACAATATTCAGGATTCAATACCTCTATTGTTGGGCCCTGCTTCTTTTGAGTTAATGGAAATTTTGCCACTTCAGTGAGCTGAGCAGATGCTATGCAAAAAGAAACTAGCTCATGTTCTTAAATGGTATTAACTCCTTTTGTTTGTACTTGTATCACGCTTCCCTATAGATGTAGTTTCTATATGGTATATGTGATGGCACCAAATTCTATTTAAAAAAAAAAAAGTTGTTTAAAGCTTGTTTCTAGCCTTTGAACACTGCTATTTTATATGGTGGCTTATTTTAATAGCTTCTGGGCTAGTTGTTCTGTTGTCTATAAATCTTTCATATCTCATGAAGCAGAACACCAAACAGTTCTGTCTGCTTTGGACAACATCCCCCATCAACCACCTCCCCTCATGCTACCAGATGGGTAAAAAGAATGGCTGCCTGCAGGTTCTGAAGGACAAATGGGAAATGAGTTCTGCAGGTTTAAATGCTTCAAGGAAGACTGGAAAAGGAATAGATTTTACAGCCTCCTAAAACTTTCTGAAATCTTATTGCCAGCCACTGGAGATGCATCTTTTTTTTTTTTAAATGTTAATGACAAAACGGGCATGAACAACTTTTATTTAAGTCAATAGGAGCTGCAAATGTGTAGCTGGAGGGGAAAAATCGTTTCACCCCAGATTATTCCTCTTAAATTTTATAGAACTTCTATTTTTAGATTTGGCTCTAGCTATTGTCGAAGTTCACTTTTCCCAGCAGGACATTCTATCAGGTGGTCTCACTCCTAAGGCCAGGTGTTGAACTTCTCATTCTGTGTGGGGCAGAGGCAAATATGTCTAGTTTTACTATAAAAGCAGTGCATTACTATCCTACCTTCCCAGCTGGATGTGTTCATTTTAAAGTAGACTTGCAAAAACATAAATTAACTGAACTGTGCAATGAGACAGTCAGGATATAATAGATGCATGTGGACTGATGAATGCCAGCCTTGATAATTTTTCCTATGTAGGGTACATGCCAAACATTTTCCTGTTCTACTAAAATCATGGATAAGTACACTTGACATTCGGTCAGGGAATGCTAACTTCAATTGCTACTCCATATGAGGTAGTTCTACCATTTCTTAGTGAAATAGCAATAAAAATGAGTATTTATACTTATTACTGCTGAAGTTTGGTACTCCTTATATGTTGCTATGGAAGTACTTTTGCAAATTCCTGTCATATCAGTCTAAATTCTGAATTTCAACTTTGTCACCTGTTTCCTGCAAGATATTCAGGTTTAGTACTGATGTTTGATAGGATGTGTGTGAACAACACTGGAGCCATAACAAACGGCATATGGAAAAGTGTTACATAGTTAATAATAAACAAACTTATCTTGCAATTTTTTTCAAGGCTGAATACTTAATATCATTGAAAGATCAATTGTCTTTTCTTGTTTCTTTACTTTATCTCACAAATGATGAGCAAATAAGTGTCTGACACAGATCATGCAACTAACCCTCACCCTCCGTTATTGTCCCTCCAGCTTCCCATTCCTGAATTAATTTTACTGCTGTACGCCAGTTATGTTATTCTGCAACACCACCTTTTTTGTGGGATTTTTTTTCTTTACTTCTGTTTTTCTTCCTTTCCACTGTGTCTCATCCATCCTCTACTTTCTCATGTCACTAAATTAGTTTTAAATGCAATACCTGAATATGCAGAACACTCATAGATGTCCCAGGTTCATGTAAATATTGTTTGGTATGTTGCTGGTTTTCCATCCTATAGTTCACTAGCCAGTAGTGAAGCTGGGCTCTCTGCATCAGTCAGTTCTAGAATAATTGACTTTTCTGAAAGCTATGTTCTTTTCCTCTTTTGTATCTTTTTTTGTGATGGACACTATCTGATGGGAAAATGTTGTTTACTACTTTTTAAATATGAATCTATTTTGTTCCGTCCTAGTTGGTGGCCATGATTCTAGTGAAGATGCTGCTGCTTGTATGGAACTGATGCTTTGGAAAGTAAAGGAGGATACTAAGGGCAGAAAATGGTGATTTTCTTCAAGAACAGCATAATCAACATGAAGCGACTTCCCTTTCCATAATATTTCAGTATTAATCACTTTTAGTGTGTGTTGCAGTCAATGGGGTGCTTCCACAAAAACATTACTAATAGTGCCAGTGTAAAAGTGTATCAACCCCCCTGTAACTACATTGAATATTCAGTGGAGTGTACTTAAACAGTCTGTAAGGATTTTTGTACAAGAATTATTTAACGTTGGATGTTTGCTATTAAGAGTATAATTTTTGTTCAGTGTAAAAATGTGGTTAGTTGGAGGGGTTGGTTCTGTACCTACTACTTAACAGCTTTGCACTGCTGATGATCTAAACAGTAAGAAACAAGAACTTGGTTTTTCTATTTTTAAAACTTGTACCAAATTATCTTACAATACAAAACAAAGAACTAATTTGCCTGACCCCCTTTATAGTGCCACTGCTGCTGTCTGCAAATCACACCTGGAAAGTCAATTTCTCTCCTACTTCTCTTCCATCCTCTCCCTCTTCTCTCCCCCTCCCCCACCAAAGAGTGGTGTAGAAAAACAAATTGGAGAAACACTACAATCTTCTCACCTATGTCAGTTTTCCCCAAGAAATGTACATGTTAAAAAGTAAAATGCATCTAAACCAGAAAGTAGAAGTTAGGCTACCTGTAATCTGAACTCTTGTTTATGGAGAACCTAATGATTTATATCTTTTATTTTGACCTGTTTTTGATAACCTTACTTTGTAAAGATGTTTTGGTAGGGTCACTTTTTTTTTTAAATGAAGCAAAGTTAAAAAGCAATAAGCTGTCAGTTACAATCATCAACCTAAACAAAAAAAAAATCCAAATTAAAGGTGTTACTGTTTACTGCAAAGGACATGTTGGCCACTTATTTCTCACAAAGCTACAATGTTTTTCTTCATAGACCCATATGTACATCCGTAATCTGATCCATAATTTATGCTGTAGCAATAGCTACAGATTTTGGAAGTGGTAATGTGCAAAATATGAAACTTGTGCAATCTATGTGGTGTGATTTCTCTCGTGGTAGAGAGCAGATAGAGTGCATTGAAATCCTTCCAAGATTCTAGCTCAACCTGGATACCTGTGTCATGTAGAATGCCATTTTACTTACGCACTCTCTTGTTAATGAAATAATGTAAAGGAAAAAATGACACCAAACCTGGAGGTGCTGGTGCAGGGAAGGTGGAGTAAACAACTGTATTCCAAATCAGTAGCAGGTTAAGCACCTGCTAGAAATAACCATGTGGTGGAATGCTATGCAACAGTACACCACGACAAAGGGTGCTTTGCACAAAGTACATTTAGCTAATGAAAACATGGGAGGTTGCCTGTAGAGGAGCCCAATTTCATTATTCCCCTTTCAGGGATGCATTGTTTCCTCACATAGATTGTATTACAAGTTAAGCTTGACCTTCTAAATTAGGAGACCTATACTACTACCAATGTGGAGGTTATTTTTTTTTCCTTTCAAATATCGACTTTGCATGACTTGGAATGGGTGCTTGTCACATCCAAAAGAAACTCGTTACCTCTGAAAAGGCCACAGCTAGTACTAATCAACGTTTTGTTTACAGAATTCACAAATAGCAAAAAGAAGAACAGGAGTACTTATGGCACCTTAGAGACTAAGTACTCCTGTTCTTCTTTTTGCGGATACAGACTAACACAGCTGCTACTCTGAAACAAATAGCAAAGAGACCGGTGCCAAAAATCTTTCTATCACAGCAACGTAGTACAAAACTTTCTCTAAAAATGACCTGAAATAGGGCTGTATCTAAAAACTCTGCTCAGGGGTGTGTTATTGTTTGAGGAGAGGGAGACTGCAGTGAAAGGGGGATGTTTGTTTTGGGTTTTTTTTTAAATTGGTGGTTGTTTGAGCCGGCCAAGGACACAAAATGTTTAATCCAAACTTCTCGGCCCCAGGAAGAAGGCTGAATGCAAACATGGTTAAAAAACAATCATTATATGAGTTAATACACACATAGCTCTGAAATTTGTCTTGGACATGTGATTAATTTATAAAACGTGATGGTGTATGTACAGAGCTATGGCTGTATGTTTACCTATAGCTACATAGACTGTTTTAACAGGCACCCTGTGGAATGATGTAGCCATCATACCATCTAATGGGGTAGCTACAAATGCAGGCCCCCTGAGTGTCCCCAGTCTGACTTAAAGTACCTCTTTAGGGTCTTGGGGGCATGCTCACTCCAGCATCAGGCCTGTAGTGCTAGAGTCCTTTGCAGAACTCGGGGGGTGGGGTGAGGGAGGTCTTAACATTTTGATTAAACTAATCACATTTTACAATAAAGTGTTAACTTGCATGATTATGGCTTGACCAGGTACTTTCATACACTGATATAAATGTTTAGGGGGTTGTTTGTTTTTTGGGGCGGGGGGAGGAAGAGGGACATGTGGTTCTTTGATCATATCACTTTAAAGTCTCTTCCCCCCCACCAGGTTTCATATAGTTATCCTTGATATATATATGGGAACACGAGAATCGGTCTAGGTTTTGCATTTACAAGGCATTTTGAAAAAGTAAATGGATGCCCCTCCTCCCTCCCAACCAAATGCAAATTTGTGCCCCCAAAATGTGCGATGTAATAGCGTCACACACAGGTGTCTTAACAAGCCAACTGCTGTGCAGAGTGTGACCTTGAGGTAGGGGCATTGGTCTGTTATAATTTGTCTGAACAGCTTTAACATTCTTCAGTAATTATTTTTAAAAATATTACAGCTGTGACATATAAACTGATCTGCACTTTAGGCAAACTGTGGCCAATCTCATTTTTGCTGTCTGACTGCACATATATACAGGCACAGAGATGTGTTTTAGATCTATTTTCTTTATGGGTGGTAGAACTTTCGTGTAGCAAATGGAAAAGCCTTTACAGCCCCTCCCGCCGCCATGCCATTCCTCCCAGTAGTTTTTCCCTTGAAAGCTTGGCTTCTCTATGCACTACCAGAAACGGCCAATGAACCAAGAGGCATCGGTATACAGAGACCATGGCAATGGGACGGCAAAGAAATAGCTAATTAGATTAGGGTCACAGAGAGATGCTCATGTAGTTAAAGCACTAACATGGGACTCAGGAGCGAGCCGTAGATTCAATTTTCAGATCTTGCTCTATGGCCTTTCCCCCTCTATCTGTAAAATGGGCTGATAATTTTTTGGCTCTCTTGTGACATTATCTGGTTAAAATATGACCAGATAGCTCATTGTTCCAACCACTGTTATATATTTGCAGTGAATCTTGTACAAAGGTTGTCAAGTGAGGTGTCTATGATTTGCTGGTTATGATTATGCTATCATTTTTGTATTTGAAGTTGTAAGTATTGGCTCTATATCTGGATTTCAAATGTTTGCTCCTTGGGTAAGGCCCACAAAGTAATTAGCCAGCACATTTTGGAGGGACTATTCAAATTGAGTGATCCAACAACAGCATATTTAACTGACAATGGACCATGGGAGACGCCCATCTACACTTAATGGAATTTCCTGCTGTGACTAGGCAAAATGCATGGACATGTGACTCCAAACTCCGTCTTGTTGCTGTAATTTTCCACAGTAAGAACAATGGGATTCCCTCCAAATGGCAAAAGCTATAAAAGGCCCCGGAAACATCTCCATTTTGTCGTCAATCCTGCTTCTTACTTCTGGAGGAACTTTGCTACAAACTGAAGCTCTGAACAAAGGACTGACTGACCCATCCAAGCTGTGGCTATATTCCAGAATCTTGACTTAAGCCAGCAGTTTATTCCAAACTGCTACAATCCTGAACCAAGAACTCTGCAATTACTGTATATAGTTGAGGCCTTTAACCAGTTTTAATGCTCACCTTTCTTTCTGTTTATAAATAAACCTTTAGATTTTTAGCTACTAAAGGATTAGCCTCAGTATAGCTCACCCTGTCCCTCTTCACTGTCCTGCCTCTGTGGGGGAAGGATGGTGAAGAGGGGACATGGCGAGAGGTGGGGACGGGGACCTGGGGGGAAGTGGGGGTGGGCGTGAAATGGAGGAAGATTCACTAGGTAGCAGCAGCAGGGAGGGGCCACCACGGCCCAGGTGTCCTATTATATCTGTCACCCAGGGGCTGAGAGCAAATTAAAAATCTTCATCTGACCGCAAACGTCCGGATTCAGTTGTCAAACACACTAATGTGAAAGCCATTATACTGAAATGTAAAAATATTCCTGCCCTGTTGAAGAGCATGTACATTAGCTGAATGATGTGTGAGAACCTTTTAATAATGCCACTGAAGGAAAATATTTCAAAGGCTTTTAGTACATTATTTGTTAAAGGCCACACAGTAAACTACATGCAGGCACACAAGGAATAGTGTGGTCACAAGCAAGTAAGTGAACCTTGCCTGATTATAATTAACTAATGATCTAGTCAGTGCATTATTAGACTCAAATACAAAATGAAAAAGCTGCACTTGTAGCCAAACTGACTGTTTAGAAATGTGTTTTACAATATGTAATACATTTATGAATGCCCATTCTTCGTGATAAACACCATGTGACTTTCTAAAATAACACCACTCTCTAATATTTATATTATCAAGTTAAACATTGATATTTAATACAAGAAATTGGCTATTAAACAGCAGTTGCTTGTATCGCATAGATGTCAGCTAGTTCAAAAGCTCTAGAAACAAATTATTTTCAGGGCTCGCTTTTACTGCTGATTTCCTAAAGCGGTGTTGTCTGGTACTGCTACAGTATTGTCTGTTCTCTGGAGACATAGCACTGTTTTGGCACGTACACAAAAATGTGTTGTGTTAGAATCACCATAAAATTTAGCTAATGAGATATTCTATGTTATCATTAACTCTTGGAAAATACCTAGGGTAGCAATGCACAATGCATTTCAATAAGTGTTTCTGCAGGGGCTACTTAAAGTAAGTATCACCGCATTTCCCGAAAAAAGATTCTATTGTGTGTGAAATGTATCTCAGAATTTATGACATTAGCCCATTCCTACTCAAAACAGTATATACACTCCTACAGTCTATGGAGGCCGAGCTTACTGTAAGACATACACAATGCTATCTGTAGTTCAACAATATTATACAAAAAGCTATACACAGTTCTACACAGCACATCCCATTCTGTCCCCCAGAAGACTGAGTTTTTGGTTTGTTTAATGGTTACTCAATATATGAAGATTTTTTCTGTCTTAAGCAGCTTCTTCAGCAGAGCAGTCGATGCCTGCATAGGTAAACTTCTCATACAGGGTGGTATTCACATATGTCTGAAAAAATAAGAGAGGTTGGTGATGCATTTTTTTCCTCACGTGCACCAAGCTGTACTCTAATTATTGAGTGGGCTATAGACCTCACTAATTGTGTCTCATGGACTTCACACACATATGCCATGGAAAGATTTAGCCTTTGGACTTCAAGCTAGCACAGCTATTCAGCCTTACCTTTCGTTCCTCTAACATCCTGTTCAGTGACACCAGGATCTGAGCAAATGATGGCCTTTCATACGGTTTCTCCCGCCAACACTGTCTCATCAGGTCATACCTTTAAAAATGAGACACAACCCATGATGACTTGGATGCATGTCACTGAACACAAGGCGTGTAGATTCCATCTTAAAACCATGACAAGCAGCCCCAGTTTAAGGCTGGAATTTTTCAGACAGCCCTCTAAGAGATGCACCAATCAGCCCTGACAGCCACGCTGAGAATTGAATGGCCACACTCCCTTCCCCGCCTCCAGTCCTCCCACACCACATCCACTGCACCAGAGGTGGGGAAGCGGGAGCCACATGAGCTGTTATAACAGTGCTTCACCACCTGAGACGCTCATTAGGCACAGGGCCAGCTCCAGGGTTTTGGCCTCCCCAAGCAGCCAAACAAAAAAAAACAAAACCAAAAACAAAACAAAAAAGCTGCGATCACAGTCGTGATCTGCGGCAGCAATTCAGCGGGAGGTCCTTCGCTCCGAGCAGGAGTGAGGGACCGTACGCCGAATTGCCGCAGAACAGCTGGACGTGCCGCCCCTCTCCGAAGTGGCCGCCCCAAGCACCTGCTCGGTAAGCTGGTGCCTGGAGCTGGCCCTGATTAGGCATTCCCAGACTCCCTCATAGGAATTGGCTTTACTGAGTGGCACATATCCACGTTTATGATCTCTTCCATGGCTTCCACCAGCGTAGTGGTAATTAGACTGGTATTGCCCAGGTCTGTTAAGGTAGCAAACCAATTTTAATTCAACCATGCTTTGTTTTCCCCTTCCAACAGCCAAATTTGAGCTTAAATTTCCCATGATTGGCCTCCTTGAAGATGATTTTTTTTGTGTAGAACG